TGATATCTTGGAATAGAGTCATTGATATAAACTTTTGATCACTGGCTTTTCAATCGATCGGGCCATAAAGTTTTATTGTAAAACTATGGCTATAAAACAGCATACCGCTATTTAATAAAAGAATGAACAAGAAAGAGCACAAAAAGAAATAAACTAAAAAAAGAGATTGAAAATAGTTGTAGTATAACATTATCATTATCACTATCATTATCATTCATCAAACATTATTCAACCTCCAGTATGATATTGTATCACATGAATTCCTATCAGATTCTCCTCCATAGTATTCAACATTTCGAAAAAAAAAAAAAAATACAGTTAAAAATAGTGACGACTTCATTCAGATACAAATTCCTATCATATCCTCGTATGATGTTCAACATTTCAGATAAAATTCCCAGTAAAAAAAAAGAAAAAAACGATTCTATTGAAATTATCTAGCAATTCACATCATCATATCCTCGTATGTTATTCAACATTTCAAATAAAAGTTCCAGGAAAAAAGCATAAAAATAGATTGATAGAATAAAGCATGGACAAGTTTACTGAATGGATTTAGTAATCCACTTGACTTTTTTTCTTTCTTTCTTTCCTTTTTATTTATTGATTTATTTATGCTTTGCTTGCCATTTCCCGTCTCGCAGGCCCGTCCCACCGAAGCCCCAGATGTCACGTGTCACACTCTGAGCCTCGATATGACGTGTCACGCTGCTCTTGCCCCCCCCCCTCCCCCCTCCCAAATACATTGGCGTCACTATCACTCCAGCTTTATCCTTATCCTTTATTTCCGCATGTCTATTTCTATTCTTTATCCTTTATCCTCTATCTTTACCTCCTCATAACATGCAATTCTATCCTTCATCCTTTGTTCCCCATCTCCGCATAACAGGCAGACAGGCAAGCAGGTTGGCAGACAGACAGGCAGGCAGGCAGACAGGCAAGCAAGCTGCCCTCCCAAAAAGTAAAATGTGCTCCTGCTCCTCTTTCTCTTCCCCTTCCTCCTCCTCCTCCTCCTCCCCTCCACTCTTCTACCCCCCCCTCTTCATTCTCCTTCTTCCTCCTTCGCCTTCCGGACACGCCCCTCGAAGCCCGCCGTCTTAGAAGGCGTCCCGAGGGGATGAGCGGAGCGAGATCCTCCAGAGAGCCAAGGCCCAAGGATTCCGGAGGCGATCCCTCGGGCGGGGCTTCGAGGGCGGGGCCTTCGAGGGCGGGGCCTTCGAGGGGGCCTTCGAGGCGGGGCTTTCGAGGGCGGGCTTTCGAGGGCGGGCTTTTCGAGGCGGGCTTTTGAGGCGGGGCTTTCGGGCTTCGAGGGCGGGTTTTCGAGGCAGGGCGGGGAGGGCTTCGAGGCGGGGCTTTCGAGGGCGGGGCCTTCGAGGCGGGGCCTTCGAGGGCGGGCTTTAGAGAGCGGCGAGGGGGCTTCGAGGGCGGGGCTTTCGAGGCGGGGCCTTCGAAGAGAGCGGGCTTTTTTTTCGAGGGCGGGGCCTTCGAGGGCGAGGCGGGTTTTTCGAGGCGGGGCTTTAGAGAGCGGGCTTTCGAGGGCGGGGGGCTTTCGAGGCGGGCTTTCGAGGGCGGGGAGAGCGGGCTTTCGAGGGCGGGTTTCGAGGCGGGGCTTCGAGGGCGGGGCTTTCGAGGGCGGGGCTTTAGAGAGCGGCTTTCGAGGGCGGCTTTCGAGGCGGGGCTTTCGAGGGCGGGCTTCGAGGGCGGGCTTTTCGAGGGCGGGCCTTTCGAGGGGCTTTTCGAGGGCGGGAGGCGGGCTTTCGAGGGCGGGAGGCGGGCTTTCGAGAGCGGGTTTTCGAGGAGGGCTTCGAGGGGGGCTTTCGAGGGGCGGGGAAGGCGGGGCTTTCGAGAGGGCCTTTCGAAGGCGGGCTTTCGGGCGCTTTCGAGGGGCTATTTTTTTTTCGAAGGCGGCTTTTTCGAGGGCGGCTTTCGCTTTTTTTCGAATTTTTCTTTCTTTCGAAGGCGGCTTTTCGAATCTTTTCGAAGGCGGGGCTTTGTTTTCGAGGCGGGCTTTTCGACGGGCTTTCGAAGATGGTTTAGCGGAACGGACCGTTTACTTTTTTAAAAATTCTTTTATTGATTTATCTCTGTATATGTTATTTTTAACTTCACTATTACCATTGTTATTATTATTATTAGTAGAAGTATATTCATTATCATTATTACTACTATTATTATTGTATCCATCACTATTATTATTATCATTACTATTATCATTATTATCATTATCATTGTCAAAATTATTGTTATTATTCTTATCATTACCTTTATCATTTTCACTAATTTCGTCATTATCATTGTTATCATTGTCATCATTATCATCATCATTATTGTTTTCACCATTATTATCATTATTATTTTTTTTATTATTATTATCATTTTTATTATCATTATCATTGTCATTATCATCATTATTATCATAATCAGATCCAGCTAAGTGGTTGAACGACTCCCCCCCCCCCCCCCGAAAAAAAATCTTAATAATTCATTAAATGACCTTCATTTGTCAAATAACTATTGCCACCAGCCTGTCATCAATCAATATGCCATGACCAATCTGTCACCCTGTCATCAATCACCAATCATAAATTTGTCTCGATAGAAAGCAAAGGAATTTAATTTACTTCCTTCAAAACTTCCTGAGACTCACAAGGAAGACTATGAATTCATAATGAAATATGAAAGTATGATAAAACATTATATAAAAGAATACATGAAAGAGACATTATATATAAAAAAAAAAATCATGATAGTAAAAGTAAACTAAAGTAAGAAAACATGATAAAGGCATGGTACAAAAACAATGAAACACAATAAATATATAATAAGAAAGAGAACATAATGCAAAAAAAAAAAAACATAATGAAAACAAAATACAAAAGCAAACACGATCAGAAAGATGAAACACGATGAAAATATAACGAAAGAAATAAAACATAATAATAATAATAAAAAAAACATGACAATAAAAAGAATGATACTAAAATTAAAAATCCGGGAATCCTGCAGCTCGGACGAAGGAGGAGAAAACGAAGCTAAATCGATGACGAGATGCAGGACCGAGAAGGAGTCAAAAGAGCCGCTGTCCTGGGCTGGGCTCGGCCGTGGGCGTGCGGGGAGCCAGGGCGTTGACCCAGACAAGGCGGTGCAGCTGGAGGAACCGCCCGCGACACGCCCCCGCGCTCTGGAGGCGGGGGTTTTGGCAGGAGGCGAGGCAGCAGGGGGCGGAGAGGTGGGGTGGGGGAAGCTAGACGCTTGCGTGAAGGGAGGGGCGACCGTAAGCTTAAACACAGACACTCAGATACATGCACACAGATACAAAGGCACAGACACGCGCTGTGTGTCAGATGTAGACACAGGCTCAGATGCACGCAGACATAGATACACACAGATGCACACAGACACTCACGCACACATACAGACACACACAGAACAAATGCACACACACACACACACACAACACACACACACACACACCACACACACCACAACACACACGCAACACACACACAAACACATCTGTCTGTCTGTCTGCATTCACTTTGTCCAAATACCAAAAGTAACAGCTCGACATGGGGTCGGGCGCGCGGTGCGCACTATTGTGATCATTATCATATGGAAAAAAACACAAAATATTGGGAAAATCCTACTAATTAATCATTTACGATTAACTGTTTTTCAGATAGGGAGGGGTAGATGCATGTATGTTTATATTACATTTACTTTTTTTTTATCAGTTAACCGTTTTTCTTGTTTTGTAGAACAAAATAATTAATATAATTGTTAACTGTGTAAAAAATATTCGAAGTTGCCAGAGATTTCGATGGCAATTAATGATGTTAATTCGAATTTGCAAATTCTGTAGAGAGAGAAAGAAAGATATGTAGAGAGAGAGAGAGAGAGAGAGAGAGAGAGAGAGAGAGAGAGAGAGAAGAGAGAGAGAGAGAGAGAGAGAGAGAGAGAGAGAGAGAGAGAGAGAGAGAGAGAGAGAGAGAGAAGAGACAGAAGACAGAGAGACAGAGAGAGAGAGAGAGAGAGAGAGAGAGAGAGAGAGAGAGAGAGAGAGAGAGAGAGAGAGAGAGAGAGAGAGAGAGAGAGAGAGAGAGAGAGAGAGAGAGAGAGAGAGAGAGAGAGAGAGAGAAAGAAGACGAGAGGAGAGAGAGAGAGAGAGAGAGAGAGAGAGAGAGAGAGAGAGAGAGAGAGAGAGAGAGGAGAGAGAGAGAGAGAGAGAGAGAGAGAGAGAGAGAGAGAGAGAGAGAGAGAGAGAGAGAGAGAGAGAGAGAGAGAGAGAGAGAGAGAGAGAGAGAGAGAGAGAGAGAGAGAGAGAGAGAGCGAGAGCTAGGACTAGAGATAAACTAGAGCTAGAGATATATAGACAGATAGATAGATATATAGAGAAAGAGAGGGAGAGATTGAGACTGAGAGAGAGAGACTGAGAGAGAGAGACAGAGAGACAGAGAGGAATAGAGAGAAAGAGAAAGAAGAGAGAGAGAGAGAGAGAGAGAGAGAGAGAGAGAGAGAGAGAGAGAGAGAGAGAGAGAGAGAGAGAGAGAGAGAGAGAGAGAGAGAGAGAGAGAGAGCTAGGACTAGAGATAAACTAGAGCTAGAGATATATAGACAGATAGATAGATAGATAGAGAGAGAGAAAGAGAGGGAGAGATTGAGACTGAGAGAGAGAGAGGAAGAAGAGAGAGAGAGACAGAGAGAGAGAGATAGAGAGGAGAGACAGAGAGAGCGAGAGAGAGAGAAAGAGAGAGAGCGAGAGAGAGCGAGAGCGAGAGCGAGAGCGAGAGAGAGAGAGAGAGAGAGAGAGAGAGAGAGAGAGAGAGAGAGAGAGAGAGAGAGAGAGAGAGAGAGAGAGAGAGAGAGAGAGAGAGAGAGAGAGACAGAGAGACAGAGAGAGAGAGAGAGAGACAGAGAGAGAGACAGAGACAGAGAGAGACATAGAGAGAGGCATAGACAGATAGATAGACAAAGAGAGAGAAACAGGGACAGAGAGAGAGGCGGATAGATAGATAAAATACAAAAAAGAAAACTGAAGTAAACTCATCGATATAAACATAAAAGTAAGTGAATAAACAAAACTTTTTACAAAAAAGGAAGTAAATAGTTACACCTATGACTAAGTATCTAAAAAATATACAGAAAATATATCCATACACACGCGCGCGCGCGCACAAACGTACATACACAAACAAGCACACAGACATGCATATGCATACAAGTACAAGCATACAAACCCACATACATGAACCGTATCCCCCCGAAAAAAAAGAAAGAAAAAAATATGATAATAAGAAATAATAATAAAAAAAATAAATAGATAAAAAAACGAATGAATGAATAAATAAAAGTCTTACCATAATGGCCCAAAGAACGATTCCTTTTCAATAAAACCTTCCTGTATTGCCACAGAGTTCCTTACAGCCCGTCCAGACAGACAAGAATCTTAGACAATTGTCTGCCATTTTCATTCCTCTGACAGATAAAATGGCACCATAGACACGTTTCTTAAGAGATGGAGGTAATAAAATTGATGGAGATACATTTTTTCCTTCTTTATCTGAAACCCATATATCTGGGTGTTCCCCATATTTCATTCTTATTTTCAAACGGTCAGTTTCGCTGAAAGGTTCATTTGTCTCATATCGAAAGATTTGGTCAGATTAAAGCGGAGCGGAAAATTAAACAGAAAATCAAATGAGAGAGAGAGAGAGAGAGAGAGAGAGAGAGAGAGAGAGAGAGAGAGAGAGAGAGAGAGAGAGAGAGAGAGAGAGAGAGAGAGAGAGAGAACGCCCATATAAGATAAGATTGGCCTTTTAATTTTCGTCTTTACCTCCCTTTCTCTCTGACATTCCCTTTCACTGTTAAAGATTTCCGATAATAAGCCTAAATGGGCCTTTCCCTAAGAGAAAGAAAGAAAGAAAAACTACAAACATTATCGTATGCATTCTGCCTTTCTGTTCCTTCCGTACAAACGCATTGTTGTATGCATTCTGTCTTCACCCGCTTCTTGGCTCCTTCCTTCGGGCGAGTCGCGCGAGTGCACTCAAATGCCTACGACAGAATCAGGTGGAAATGCCTGCTTGCCATCAGTCGTGCGGTGACCAGCGTGAAGGGAAGTCCATCTTTCCTCCGGTAGGTCAACGTAATGTTATTGCCTTCTCGCTGCAAAAGGGAAAGATGGATTCGATGTTCGCTTGGTCAGTTTCCTTGCGATAGGGTTGCAAAGCCGTGCTGTTTACTTGGTGCATTTCTTGATGCGGAGGCTGACAGTTTAAATATCGTTTTAAGAGATAATTTCACGTGGTGGGTTAATATCAAATATATTTCATTTTTACAAATTCGGATAAACGAAAGGAATACACTGAAATCACATGGAAAAAAACATTGGTTATTTTTCATTTCCAGACATTACTACTATTTCTGCCATTATTTTGCTGATAGTCGAAGCTCTTTATCGATAAAACCTTCCTATCTGCGATGCTTAGCTTTAAATCAACAATTAAAACCATGCCTTGGTATTCCTAAAGGACAGGAAACACTATAAAAAAACCACCTGCTGAAATATGTACGCACGATATTGTACGCAGAGATCATACAACGACCAATCAACGGCCACGGATTACACAGAAATGAAAAACAGAAAAAAATCTCATCTGTCCTTGTCTCATTCACAGGTAACCATCACATTTGTCATTAGGACCGGCCGTTCAGTTCTCCTTTCATACTCATCCATGCATTTTCCTATTCCACAAAACTTTTTTTATTATTATTTCTAGCTTCACAAATCTCTTTTCTCAAACTCCTCGCCCTTTTTTATTTATTATTACTCTTATTTTACCCGAAAAGCTATTAATTTAATCATTTACTTTTCATTTATTTTCACCACCGAGGCCTCTCCTCTTTTCCCTCCTCCACAAAGTCCAACAACCCTGGAAGTTTGTCCGGAAATGGACATCAAATTTTTTACAACTATTGCATGATGGCGTGATGTTGTTGAATAGCATCGCTGTGCATAACATAATCAGATGAGATTTTACGTTTACTGCTCAGTTTGCAAAGAAGGGAGGTAAAGTTAGGAGGTAAAGAAGTGGAGAGAATGTAGTACGGTGGTGTGGTAGGGAGAATCAGAATAAAATGGTCCTAAGAGGTAATCGAACAAAGGGAAAGAGTGGGAGGGAAGACTAAAGTAAGAAAGGGAAGTAAGTATAAATGGTTAATAAAATAAGAGAAGCGTTGATAAAGTAAAGAGGTATTGAAGCAAAGAGAATGCACGAGAGAAACGCTGGGAAGGGGAATAAAAAATGGTTTATAGAAAATAGGGGAGAATGAAATAACAATAAAAGGTAAGTAAAGGAAAAATTTAAAAAGTGTAGTAAAAAAAAGAAAAAAGAAAAAAAAAAACATGATAAAAGAGATTCTTCACCTACCCCTTAAAAAGGAAAATAAACAGAATGACAAAGACACAGAGAGAGGGAGAGAGAGAGAGAGAGAGATAGA